TTGAAAAAATATTGATTTCCCCACAATTTAATGCGCCTTTCTTAATGAAATCACGAGCACGAGTTTTTCCCTGGGTATATATCTTCCAATCACAAACAAAAATACCTAATTAAAGCTTGGTAACGTCTCAGTTTGTACCCGTTGGTCTGCGCATGGAGGTATGTTTATACCTCCATGGTCTGCGCAACAGTCAAAGTCGCCATCTTTGTTTATATGAGACCCATATCTCGCGCATGCGTGTCGCGACGACTACCGCCCTTTAATCGCTGATATGGTGGTGATATATTTTAGGTGAAATGTTTTATTTTGTCAAAGTTTAATTCACCTCAATATGCCGTAGAAATCAACTTAACTTTACCCAGGGTAGAATAACCAAACATTATATTACATTTTTGCGCTTGAGGAAAAACTTATTCGTGGGGAAAAATCTAAATACAGGTTACGAGGTCATTTGGATCCGGATAGCTATTCAACCAGATTTCATACCGATGTTTAGAGGGCGTTATGTATAAAACAAGTGCATTTCCAGTAATAGTGTTTTTTCATTGCGACTAGAAATACTTGACAATTTTCAACGATCATTTGGTTCCCCACCTCACTCTATAGATGTGAACACAGTCACTTTACTATAATGTAAATGTTAAAACTGTCAAACGCCTTTCCACACCTTTTTTACAAAACGTCTGCATTTTTTAAAGTTTTTAGTAGTAAATCCAAAACTGGATATTCTAGGGATTACGGAGGTGCTAAAATCGCCGAAAAATCACGTGTCGTCAGTGACTTCACAGTGATTGACAGTTCATAACATGCTCAACGCGATCGAGTCTGTCCGATATTGTGTTGCTATTGTGAACTCCCTAGGCTGATGGGAACTGGCTCTAATACAGAGCACCGGAAAGACGCGGGTTGAATCGGTAACGATCGGGAGACGTCGGTTAGTTGTGTACCGCCGATGAATTCACTGGTAATCAGGTTATGGACGGTATCTCGCTATCCGCACATTTTCACAAGTACAAATACCTCTCAATAGACTCTATATAGTGAGTTTTAACAGCATTGCAAAGATTGGTTCCTGTCTTATTTTTATTTTCATGTTTTTAAATCAGAGGAGTCGTCGTCACCTGCGCATGTGGCAGACGGCCATAGCGTGTCGTTGTTTACAAACAGGCATCTACCCATGGGCCTTTGCGTTTTTAGCGTGCGCCATTGTCGACGCTTGGGACTTCGAATACTAGTATATATTCTTTTTTCTCACCCATTAGGCTCAACACGCCTGATGCTTTCTCGGACTCGAAATATTGTTACTCACTGATCTCTGCTAGTAACAAACCATGTAATCATGTCATGCCTGTGTTTGGCAGTCGACTGATAATATCATGCACAGTCCCATCTTGTCGAGGATCAGTCAACACAGCATATGCTGCAACAGAAATGCCATAATACGACATTCGTCGTCCTATGGTTTCTTTGCTAACACCTAACGTATTAGATATTGTTGGGATAAAGAATCCCTCACCTAAGACAACTGTTCTGCGAAATGTCGGCCGTTCTGGCTCACCAGAAAATACTTTGCCCGAACATGGAGACAGTGGACGATGCGGGCAAGCCACATATGGGGAGGTTATGAGCGATTGGTTATTACAGGTTGGTAACGCGTGTGGATTGGAGAGCAACAGTGACGTGTTTATATACTGTAGAATATATATACTTTATTTTCGCTTGAAATTTATTTTCGCTGAAGGGATGATTGCGTGAAAATAAAATCCAGCGAATATACTTTTTTTCCCTATATTTCACATTAATATCACGGGGGAAAATCTTCTCTCTCGGGTTCTCCACACGTGTCAGGGGGGAATCTCGTCTCGTCTATATATCTCGTCCCGGGATCGGGAAAGTCACTTATACTTTACAGTCAAATAAGACACACACAACGAAATACGTTTCAGCTCTCGTCTTAGTCGGTCAATCGAGCACTCTATCAGACACAGCGCCCTGGGGAAAATCCTCAAGACTAT